GGAATCGAACCAGGGTCTCTACAACACTCAACCACTACACTCTTATGCTGAATGGATGAAAATGAGTGACTGATTAGGAGGTTAAAGATTTAGGCGATAAATAATGTTTTATACAAGAATTATCGGCACATCCATATGTGTCAATATTGACGTAAATAGATAATGAAAGGAATATCAAATTCGAGTTATAGTTGAAACAATGTAAATAAACTAAATATTGATAGTAAAATTTGTCCTCTTTTTCTTACTGTTTGCCAAAAAGGTAAAAACGCGCATTGTTTGTCTTTTAATGGTTGTTAAAATTTACAGCAACGCGGTGTACATTTGATGACATCACAATTTGGCGATTTATTACACTACTTGTCGAGATACTTAAATTATATTACGTGTGACGTTGTAAGGCAATAACATTTAAAATCTTCACGAGAGTCCTTGAAATCTGTATGACATATTGGACCTTGTTCTAACAGTCATTAATATGTAATTCAACAGGATTTCCCTTTTTCGAGAACCTTTAAAAATAAAAATAAATCAACAATAATTTGCATTTTGGTGCCTTTCTGACTTATTTTGAAGAACTTATTGAAAGATATAAAAAGATCCCATTTTGTAAGCTGAAAAAATCAGATTGGATTTTTATTAGAACATCTTAGACTAAATAAATATAAATTGGTTACAATCAAGGGCAACAAATAGTTATTAACAAAACTATAAACATTTTATTGCCAATAAAGTGTTAAAAAAAAGTGATAAATATCTCGGAACTTCAGAATATTCCACTTATTTAATTTTAAGCAATGTTGTGTGACGATATAGTATAGTAACAGTCAATATATATTGAAGAATATTTTTCCAGATTATGATAATACTTGTTTTATTTATGAACAATTGTCGAAAATTAAACAACAAAAGGTAATAGGCGCTATGCTCCCTCAACCCCCCCCCCCCTTCAAGATTGAACTCTCTATATATATTACATCATTTTCCAATTCATGTCTCAGACATAACTTGAGTTTTAATTACTGATAGATGCAAGTTAATTTCTCAAATAATGTTACAGTGATTATCTGGCTCTAATTTCAGTTTATAGATAAACCAAAGTTTTAACTGTAATGTTAGTAAAACAGGACTACAATTTATAATGCACTCAAATGATAAACTACAGTGTTTACGTCAAAAGAAAAAATAACGACCTGATAACGAAATTATTTTATTATTTTGTGTCCGTTACGATGATGTATTGAATACAATCCCTATATACATTACAAAAGGGCCTTGATAAAACCAAGTTTAAAAAATTATATATATCGTAGAAAGCAAAGAGGTCATTTAAACTAACCCTGATCATAGTTATTTACGTAAAATAACACAAACAATTATACTCAAAAATAAAAATGTTTAAGCTAGTAAAGTTTAATGGCATTCGTGCTTAAGTTGACGTCTGTATACATATTTAGAAATATATTTAAATGTCAATGACTTGGCTTTAAGGTGACATAAAATTCAAGGAGTGTAAAGCATTTCATGCCGCGACAGCATCAGTTGCAACAACAAAACAAAACGCCGCAAACAAGCGCGGTTAAAAGAGCATAACAGTTTCCCGTACCCGTTGTGGCGGAAGGGTTGCCTTGACTTGTTTCGGCATCAAAATTGCTGCCACCATTTAATCATGCGTGATCGTAAGAGGCGAACAAAATGATTCGTATTACAGGAGTCTATGCATCTCTTAGTTCCAGCAGGTAAAGTGGTTTTGAACCCTAGTATTGCTTGAAGTTTGTAATACCCGAGGTTAGCAAAATTCATTTTTCCTATTTCGGCTTCATAATGATATGACCTAATTCCAGATATCGAAAAAAGGTTGATTATAGTTTCATACGATGATTTTGAAAAATGAGCTGGGAGTAGCATTCCTTTATAAACTGTATCTTACATTTTTACAGCAAAATAATTGCATTTAATTTAATATGTAACTTCCTTTTCCAAGAAATAATACGGCGTATACCTTTGTGTCATCCATGAAGATGGAATCTGTGGAAAGCACTATTTGTTAAAACATATTGATCTACGAATGACGTATTGATTTTAGAAAATATTTTATTTGCATTTTATTTGGTGCGCAAGGGAAGAAACGTTTATCAATTCTGCTACTTTGCGTCAATATCACTTGCACTAAAATGTTATAAACTTCAGATAAATAAAGTCGTTCAGAATTGCAAAAGAAAGTGAATTTAATATGATAAACCTTCCCGCCTTGTTATTAGTTAACAGTATCTGGTTTAAAACATGAAAAAATAAAATAAACAAGGAACGGCGGCATCCAGTAGACGCATCCCCTAACACAGGACCACCAGAAAGGAACCCAGCAGGACACCCATTTATACAACGGGATGATGAAACCAGTGTTACAATTGAGTAAGAAAGAGTCGTACCCACATTTTAAGGGATAATTCTTACATCACATATGTGTCTATTCAAATGAACAAATTTCTTAACACGGAGACAGTCCCTTAGATATGCTAATTTATATAAATGCCTGGTCAATTAGTTTTAAGCTTTTAAGTTCAAGTTATATGTCCCCATCAGCACGATAACCATGAAAAGAACAATGTCAGAAAATAGCATTGTCTTAGTTAAAGGCTAATTTTACCCAAGAATTTTCACAATCTTTTATTTTTTGGTGTATTTTTATAGTTTAAAAAGATACTTACAGATACTTACAAATACATGAAACCTGTTTTGATTTTACTGCATCTTGATAATAAGTACATATTATAGCGATTTAGTATTTTGTATGGAATTTAAAATAGTACATTTGTTTACATTTTGCTACTTTTATGAAAATAATCCTTCATATTTTTCGCTACTTTCTTCAAGTAACAAGCGTCTAATAACTTTAAAGCCATTATTTAAAAGTTATTTAATTAATTAAACGTTTATGAAACTCATTTTGAGTCATTCTAAAGAAGTACGTAACCATTAATTTTATCCATTTCTGAGGCATAATTAGGCTTTAAGGGAAAACTATTTCATAATAATTTTGCAATTAAAAGTGTCCATATTTTGTAACCGTTATTAACGATCAATTACCATAATGATTATTTTTTCATTTGCTGCTTTATATTTGTATAGGTCCCTTTACATCAAAAGACACGTGACATTATAATTGATGCTGGTTTTGTATATTTGTGATTGAAAGCGAGCTACACAATCCAGTAAATGACACCTCTAGGTTCCACGTTAACACATTATCAACATAGCAATGACAACTTTTCTTACTACCTTTCATGTTGATAATTATATACTGCTTAATTACTAAAACTAAATATTTTATTGTAAATTAACAATTTATGAATCTAACAGTGTAAGGATATTGTTACTCAATTTGTGTAATTGTAAACTAGAGTAGAACTGCGAACCATATCAGTTTAAGACATTTCAGCAAGTGAACAGCTCTCTTTTGTATCTGCTTTTATTTCATTTTTTTCAAACGTCGCCTGCATTCTATTCTAATGATTTATCATTGCCTGAAAAAATGATATTATTATCATCTACGCACCAACCAAAAACAATTCTTACCTGTAGCAGAAAAGAATAAAGAGAAGATATTGATCATCTTAACATACTTTAAAAAACAGATACCTTATGATCTCATCTTTATTTGAATAAAAGACCAATGAATTTAATTCAATTTTCATTTAAAACACAATAGACATCGATAAGAGTGACAATAGGTTTTTCACGGAAGATTATATAAATCTTACTTTTGTAGGTTGTTCGTGTGTATGTTACCGTAAAAATGTAAAATGATTACGACTAAACGACATTTTTAAGCATACAGTCATATGGAACGCCATAGCTGCCTCATGATATTATATTTCTTTTAATCTTGCCCAGAAAGCGTCTTATTATGTCAAATATAAGCGTTGTAATGCCAATGTAATGTGACGACTTGTCTAAACATTGCATTACTATGCGTAAAGTAGTCTTATCTCTTTAAAATGTGATGTTGACTTGTGTTAACATTGTTTAATTTTTTCCAACAGTAGTGTTATCATGTCAAAATGTCGTTTTGGTTTGTCTGAAATGTGTCATATTATGTCAACTAGTCGCGATATTTGGTCAAATTGTGGAGCTGTTTTGTCAAAGGACTGTCTGATCATTTGAAACAGTAATGTTCTCTTGTCGTAACTTGGTGTTGACTTGTAAAAGCACAGCTTTATTTTATCAAACTGCCATGGAATTTCGCCAAAATACGGTGTTTAAATGTCTCAACATTGTCTTATTGTGTCAAACAACTGTGTTAATTTGCTAACGTACAATACTGAGTTGTCTTTTTATATCAAATATTCGAATTATCTTGCCGAAATGGGGTGTTGACTGGGCTAAATCATGCCTTATTATGATAAACTGTATGCTATTTTGTCAAAAAGCGGTTTTGACTGGTTAAAACTCAGTCTTATAAAGTCAAAAAATTGTGGTATCTTGCCGAATGTGGTAATGACTTGTCTAAACTCTTTCTTAAAATGTAAAACAGAATTGTTATATTTTCGAAATTTGATGTTTTCTTGTAAAGCACAGAAACAGTCTTATTATGTCTAATAATTGTGTTAATTTGTTAAAATTTAGTTCCGTCTTGAGAAAGCGCTGTCTGATTTTTACGTCATAAACTGGCAAGTTAACGCCACTGTACTACATAATGATACTGTGTTTCAACAAGTAAACACCACATTTGAAAATGAAAAATGATACTTCGGCATAAAAGGACGATGTTTAGAAAAATTAACACTGAACCTTGACAAAATAAAATGACACTTTGACAAAACGTTAGTAATTTTAGAAAAGACATCACCACGTTTCGACAAGATGATATGACTATTTGACATAATAAGACAAATATAGACCAGTTGAATCTGCATTTGGACACAATTGCATGACAGTTTAACAAATTAAAATAGCGTTTTAACAGTGCATAACCATAATTTGTAAAGATACCATCATTATTTCACATAATAAAATGGTGTTTAGGCCGGTTAACATAAAGTTTGGATAAAATAGCATGGCGATCTGAGATAATAAGGAAGTGTTTAGACATGTCAATACCATCTTTCGACAGATCAACAATACTGTTTGACATAATAAAATAACTTTTACACAAACAAACAAAATTTATTGGCAAGTCAACATTAATATTTCACATAATAAGTATTTTATAGACATGATTACAACAGTTTAAGACAAGTAAACATGATGTTTTGGCACAATAAGACAGAATAACACCACCTCATACAAAGCAACATAACAGTTTGACAAAACAGGACAGCGCTCAGCCAGGTCAATATAACGGTTGAACAAGATATCACTACTAGCCGACATAATAATACATGAGTTTGACAAGTTGACACCAAGGTCCGACAAGATAACACTACTGTTTCACATAATAAGACAATTTCTAGACAAATTACCACCACAGTTGGACAAGACAGCATGCTATTTTGACATAAAAGACATTCTCTAAGCAAGATAACACCGAATTTGAACACAATGACATGGCAGTCTGACAAAATGTGACGGTGTTTAGACAAGTCAATACCACATTTGGACAAGACAAAACGACAGTATAACATAATACAATAGTGTCATAACATACCAGGATCTTATTTGGACAAGATGACACCAACTTCCGACAAGATAACACTACTGCTCCACATGATAAGACAATTTCAAGACAATTCAACACAACATTTTAACAAGTCTGTGTTCACACATATTGAAATCTTAATTCGAAAAAATGGCGTGCATGTTAGGCATAGTAAGACTTCCATTTGGCATGTTAACAGCGGATTTGCACATGATAACATGACGTTTTCAAATAATACGACAGTGTTTAGACAAGTCAGCACTACGTTTTGGCAAGAGAACATGAATATTTGACCTAACAAGACTTCGTTAAGACAGGTTCTCATAAAACGTTGGCAAGCCAACACTTCTATTATACATAATAAGATGCTTTTAGGGAAAAATAAAACGAAATGTAACAACATGAGGCAGCTATGGCGTTCCATAGAGTCATGTATTACTAAGTGTTAAACTCTTTTGACATAAAATATATATCAGACATTATGAATAACATTCAATTTGTCAAATATAAATGGTAAATAAATCAGTAAATACGTCCCTTTTTAAAATGTGTGAAGAAGAGTTCGGTTCAGGCAAAATTGTGAACAATGTTAGTTTAAGTGTATTGATCAGCGTTTTTCTATTATTTTTGCCTATATTCAAGTTCAATGTTGTTTTACACCAAACGACATGTACATGAACGCTTCAAAGTTATCTGAGGAATCGAATCATTCTAACCAAATATACAAAAGCCAATAAAGACAACAACAGGTACCAATAACAGTAGCCATTCAATTATAGAAACACTGAGTGCAAATTTGATAAAATTCTCGTCACAACATTCCTTGGCACCATCACATCCATCAGCTAAGTATGAATAATCCGAGAAGACCAAAATGCTCCCTTTATGAAAAAATAAACAACATTTGAAATGAAATTATAACTAAGAAAGTTAATCTACTTTGCAGATATCAAACATTAAATTATTGTTATTGTGTTATGAATTTATACCTTAATATTGAATAGTTTGTATCAAATGTAATGTTTAAGGCCCATTGTACAGAAATACTTTTTTTATTTTGAAATATTTTCAATATTGGTGTCACAGTTTCAAAATAGATACTTATTGGCCAATTATCTGAAACACACACACACATCTTTTTCGGCTACTTTTGTTTTTTCACAATAAGTACAATGAAAGTGATTAAGTATTTTGTATGGAAGTCAAAATTCTACTCTGTTTACATTTTGCTACGTTTATGACAAAAAATTTCACACTCAGCACTACTTTTTAAGGCGATGATAGGTATACAGCATATTTTAAAACAATAATTTAAACATAATAAAATTGTTGCCCTTCCACAGAAGCAAAAAATAATTGTTTTGAAGGCATAATTTAATAGTTTAATCTGACGTGTATGTTATCTTATTTGAAAAAAAAACCAAACAAATACAAAACACGACGCACCGACGATTATTCCAATGAGATGTTCAACTGCTGCACCGGCTATCCCCTTCTCTTGTATTTCAGTAGAGATTGATATGCATCCGATAATGATATCAGAGATAGTTTCGAAACTAGCAGATCCGCTCATATACCGTGGAATTGAAGGATTTGCCGGACAATCATTCCTGTAAACTATACCTGACAAAACAAAGTTAAGAGTTCTCATTACATTTGCATTAAAAACGTATTTGTCACGCAGTGTAAGTGTTTCTCTAAATAAATGATATGTATTATTAAAATATTATCCATACCTAAACAATCAGAAAACAATCATCAGTATCTTGAATTTTGAAACACATTAATTTATTCATTTACTACTATAACTCTAAACTAAGGTGATGTCAAATGTAGAAATGCATGAAGACACGTGAGATACATGAGAAGATATCCTGCCTCCCTATATCCCAAAAAAAGCAACTATGAATTGAATTCTGTAACTTCAACTAGTTTGATTTCAAACACGGAAATTACAAGTTCGATTATAAAGTGTATAAAGCTATATCTTTGATGAATCATGATTGCAAAAGTTTTGTTTACGTGATATATATTATGATCAGAATGTATACAAAATACCTAGAAAAGAAAGAAAATTACCTACCCATTTATTTACCTTGAGAGAAACTTGCCCCAAATAATCAAAAACCAAGTGAAAATAGTAGTGGAATATTTTGTTCCGGAACATTTTATTCTAATTTACGTAGTACTACAATAATCATGTGTGATAATAAACAAAGTCATTCTATGTTACAACGTTGCATCTTTAGTTCTTAATACACTCCTTAACTAGAAAAATCCAGAACAACTGTTAATATCAGGCACAAATTAATCAATTATGAATGTGAGTTTTGGATTATTGTTATCAAACATAATAAATCAAATCAGTTTAACGATTCATTTTGTGAGGTACACAACATTCATTGAAGTAAAAAAGCATGATGATATCTTATTTTTCGTTAAAGCTACTACTAATGTTTAAAAATTATATCTGATACTAAACATGTAAAATGTTTTCTGTCAATCGATAAATACATACCGACAACAAACTTTGCAAGTCCTAAAAGTAAAAATGTACCAATGCCGCCAACAACAGCTGAAAAAAAAACAATTAATGATTATCTTGTGAAATCATATAACATTATGCATGTACAGCGATAAAGGTTAATTAAATTTCAAATGGTATCACCAAATAATTGCAACTATGAAAGGTCCATAATCTCAGAGTTTTTAGTTTTGATGCCCTGTTATAGTCTCCGAAACGTTCATCGGCCCATTTTCTACTTTTTAGCAATTAACAATGTTATAATTGTTTAGATTTTTTGATGGAAGTCCAAATACAACTTTGTGTTACATTTTGCTATTTTTATGATAAATAATTTCCGATTCAACGCTTTTTTCTAAAGGTAGAAGTATCTTACATGCTCCAAAATTATTATTTCAGCAAATTAAAATAAAAACCATAATTGCCATAACTAACGAAGGAAAATGACTGTTTCTGAGGAATAATGTGCCTCTTAAGTGACATTATGTCCATCTTTGGTATATAGTGAGTGAACGGGTGAAAGTCAAAATATATATGAATTTTGCTATAATTCCTTCAATTCGCATGAACGATAAACAATTCACAAGGTCCAACGAAATTGCTTTAAAAAATCTATGGTAATTTACCTGAAACGTACAATTTTTAAACAGAGTGAGACAATCTTTACATATAAGACATACTACATTTTATCCTTAACATTCTTCAATATCAACTATTTGTCAATCACCGTTACAACACTTAATCTTTGAAATATTTGATTCAGCTCAACATGACATTGAGAATTTGAGCATAATGTCACTTTAACGTTAAGAATATTCATGAAACAATCTGTAACTTTTGAAATTATAGTTCGATAGACACCTTTTGGCAATCGTTATTAATTTCACCAAATTATTTTAACTGGATATGCGGTAGGATAATAATCCATATTGTCTCTATTACGTTATAAACATATGTTGGAAACTGCTTACCAATTATTACAAGATTTTCTCCAACACTTTTACCACTACCTCTTCCATTTCCCATTGTGTTATTGCTAATAACACCTGCTCGGAAATAGTTTTGACTCTGAAAAATGCTAATGTATGTAATATGTATAAAACTAGAATATATGTGCACGTAACCAACAGTAAGTAAAGTGAATTTTGTGATGTTGTCCATTAACTTTATTGCTCAAATCAATTTAACATATTCCAACAATAAATAAATAACTTAACAATCCAGGATATCTTACATTTAAAGCATAAGTATGAATATGATTTCTTTTATAAATCAATTGCACTCTCTTACTTAATAATATGTAAATGTTTTAGAAGGCGTAAATCCTACGTAATCAGATATTATCAATGACTTCAATTATACATGTTATATGTACAAGGAATATTGCCAAAATAACGAAATAATTAATCGAAAATGAATGATGTTATCACAATTGATTGCGTTTGTTTTTGCCCTTTACAACAATTTATTTTCCCAAATTGGACAATACTCTTAAAAGATAAAAATGCACGCAAATAAAGAACAAAAGACGGTTCTGTTACACTCTTCAGACATGCATGTGAATCTTGAAACATTGATAATTACATTAGATTTTTACATTGAGCACCTTTAAATTTATAAAAAGAAAAACGTAATTCATCTCAGTGATACTAGAGTTTCTTTAGGAAACACAATGATAAATGAGAATTTTATTACTTTGTAATCGATTAAATTGAGTATTTTGCTATAATTGAAGGATTTTTCCCGATAATCTATTCCTTTTCCACGTAAAAAAAAATATTATCAAATACCTATTCTGAAGAATTAATGATAATGAACTATATTTCGCACGTAGCAAGGACATCATTTAAAATTAATAAAGAAAGTTTCTTTCGTACATTATCAGAAGAAACACAGTGCATGTCATAAGTATGTGTGTCGTTATTATAAAAACCAATTCAATTTGTGATGTAAGATTAACTTAAATAAGAGAACGCGTTCTAAATAAGTACTCGTCTTTTTTCTAAGAAAAATTGTTTTGAATTTTACACCGTAAACATGTACAAAGGAAAGGAGCAAATCCATGTTTGTTTCAATTTTAAAGACCAAAATGAGGATACCACATCTTATTTATTTTCTGGTTTTAAAAATGAAGATTGACAAATGAAACAAATACGGATTTAGTCGATGTTAGAAAAATAACTGATATCTGTCATTTGTAGATAATTGTTATCAAGACAAATGCCATTAGGTTCACCATATCATTAATGCACATCTGCGCTCGTTTTATTTATAATTAAAGCTGTCAGCAGCGGGACTTTTTAGAAAAAATATCGTCTGGTGCGAGTAATTCGGATTTATTTCAATACGATGTCATCAACCAATAAGAAAAAACGAAGTAACCATAACTGTAGAACGTTCTATCATATTCAAGATTTTACAGATGTTTATAGGTAAACAACTTTTTAAAAAGATTTTTCATAATTTATCATGGTTTATGTTTTATTAGTCTTGTGATCACAGCATGAATACATTTATATTCAAATAATTAACTTAGCATATAAAACATTTAAATTTTATCTGCGGTGGCCTACTGGTGTCTTCCTCTCAACACAGGGATCATGGGTTCGACCCTTAATCTGGTCAATTGTTTGTTCTCGGAACCGGACTCGAAAGTGATTAATATAAGTTGCAAGAACTTTTTTCGTAATCGAGCTAAAATAAATATGTTTCAACCAAATCGTACTTGCCGTATGTTTCGTTGCTATGTTTGTCGTATAAACTTCCTGTAACGGGTTTGTAAGAAATGTAATTGTGTATAAAAATTATGTATGTGTTTATTTTTGAAGGCAAGTAGGATATATCTTTTACAAATGTCAAATTTTAGTTTTTACCAACATCTTTCATTATTATATGATATAAATATAGCTGTTATCCCATTGGTACAAACAGTAGTCAACAAAACAACTTATAAAACCATTTCACTGTGTGTAGTATCATATTCATTCGCCGAATTAGATCTCTATGTTAAATACATTTGTTACAAAATGATTCCATTTGAAATTTTAATTTAAAACAATCGATTTCTAATTTTAATTGTTTTGTTAACTCAAAAGTGCATACGGTTCTTTATGAAAATAGCTCCAAAATAAGAATGATACTTAATAATTTAGAAATTTTCAATGAGTTTTCAAATAATGTTTTACGTACAAATCATGTATATTACTTTAAGGCCCAATACGCATTTAATTCAATCATTGTTCGTGATATTATTTAAAAACGGATTTTTCTCAACATGAATGTATTCATTTTACTACAGTGATAAATTCATATTACAGAGATAAAAAAATAACAAAAAGTCGGACATAAATACAATATATTTTACTTTTAAAGATGGAAAGCGAGTTATTTGTAAAACGTTTGTTACATTAAAGTCGTAACCTTTAGTCATTGTTTATATATCAACAGAGCCCAAAAACTATGTAGAATTTAGTTCATTGCTTTTTGAATGTAGGAATCGCTGAATTTATTACATGTTAAAATATTTAATAAGAGATGCAAATTTGTTTTGTTTTTTCTTAACTTAACACACATGAAGAACGACTTAGGGACGAGAATCTTTCCAAATAACACGGTGAAAGGGAATTTGACTGCTGCTTTTGAGCTGTATTAAATATGTATCAAATATGAGCTATTGAGCTTACAATTTATTTTAACACAAGTTGTTAAATGTCACACAATGATTACTTTCTCGTGATAAATGTTATTAAGATTCTTGATAACACCTTATCCGGGGAACTTAATACACTATTCTATATAATATTGCACTGTAAATAGATTATAATTATGTTACATTTAATGTGTTATGAGATATTAACAAACATATTACAAATACGGAAGCAGGTGTATTAGTAAGCCGAAAATACTGCAAAAGTGTAACTTTGATATAAGTATGGGTAGCTATAGAATGGAAAATATTTTCATAACACATTGAATGACTTCAAGAAAAACAAATACTGGCTTTTACTTAATGGAGTTGATAATTTTATAAGAAATTAAAAAAATACACATGTATTGTGTACAATAAATACTTCTAATGATAAAGCATAACAATAACATTCTATTAATATTAATTATATTTGATTGTATTTACATCTGTTTATATGTCTTATGAAAGTAAAATATTGTTAAAGCTAATTGAATAATTATTTTACAATGAAACTTCAGGTAGATAAATTTAAACGCTTTATTGGATTCATTCCTGAAATTCTAAATACAACAAAATGTGGTAAGGAGGATAATCCGGCACTTTTGCTCTTTGGTGTTTAAGCTAAATGTTTATAGAACGATGGCATAATATTATAATGATTAAAATCGGATCACATCTTTCACCTACTGCGACAGGTTAACTGATGAATAATATTGTAATCATATTTTGCAATATTCACAACTAAAACATATTATTATTTCTAATTATTTCATTATAGCTGTTAAAATAACTGTAATTTTTAAATATATGTTGCTACATATATTCATTCCGTTTGATAATTTCGAAGGACATTGATAATGATTCGTATCCGTTGAAATTACACATAAATCACGTTCTTAGAATCACATTCCTTACACGTCGTATCAAACACGTTCATTATTTCTTAAAAGAAAACTAATTTACGACAATCAACAATCGGACAGAAACAGCAAGCATTTCGCATTTTTATGTTGTTGGTTGAGACAAAGTTTTAAATCGATGCTAAGTAGTTATAATGAATTGATATAAAATGGTTTAACATAAAGTAGGGACATACGACAATAAGTGTACGATGAACAATGCACTGATATTTACCTTTCTATGGTACTAACAAGTGATAATCTTAATCTTTGCAAATTATATAAGTGATTACGGGCGTTAAAGTATGAAGCTTTTTTATATCTAAAAGTAAAGCATTTCAGTTAAAAGTAGAATGAACGAACGAACGAACGAACGAGTGAACGAAAGAGAATGATGCATTGAAACAAAAACACTCGCTGAAGGAGACTAAAGCAAATCAAGTGTCTTTGTCAAGAGCAACTATCGGTAACAAGCTAATAATATAATTTACCCCTAACGTAGTATATAAATAAAATATGATACATATTGACACGGTAACTATCTTCGACAAGATATCTAAAATACATATTTATCTTTTCCGACACAATCTAGTACACTAACACTCACCGCTTGGTCCAGACAAATATTTATTGTAATACAAGTTACTGTAACAGCAAGAGACTTTTCTTCAATGGTACGGGGCATCCGCGGCCAAGTTGTTAAGGTTTCTGACTTAAAACCACTTGCCACTTACTTCTGTAGATTCGAATAACGCCAGGGACTTTCAATTTTGTTTGTGTGAGTATGCTATCCGGCTTGCCAACGTAACGCCAAAGGTTCTACTCAGGTGCCAAATCGTGATTAGTTATTCCCTAAAATAATGCACTGAGGCAAGCCGGTATCTTTCTCCACCAGTAAAGTTTACTGTGTTAGTGCGACGTAAAACCAGGCAAAATATCTTCAAAAGGTAAATGTTCTAAAAAAAAACTAAAGTAAACATTCATTTCCAGATTTTGATCAGAGTATTGTAAATGACACGTTTCCGTCATATTAAATATTTATCTCGACATCTCTTTTACAATTTAGTATGTCTTGAAGCAAATCTTGACCTGGAGAAGCTGACAATCATTTATTATCGTTTTCTTTAACGACCTAAGGTTATAAAAGAAACATTTTTATTATACGTTTGTTATGCTACAGAAAGACCATAGTGACAAGTGCCTTCTTTACGGAATATAGGCAATATTGTTCTTAAAATGCCATTACTTTTTAAAGAAAACATGTATTTGAGTATTACTGGTATTTTTACATTTTACAGAAAGTTCTTAAGCAATAAATATCCTATTCGTAACTCTAGTTGGAAACTCTTGTGCTACCGCCACTCATGAAATATTTATTTTCATACCAATTGATTAAAATAAATCCTGTATTTATAGAAATAAAACTTGAATATCCTCTATATATCAACCGATTGATATCTACTTTTATTTTAACGATTCATTGTACTCATATAGTTGCGTGCATATAAATGTAATTCAGAATTTGTATTCGACTTGAAACTGGCAAAATTAGTGTTATTTGTCATATGTTTGCCATAACTTAACTTATGAATGTCTTCGGTAAAGAGGAGTTGAATTTTATGTAATATTCGTTTTCTTTGTGTTGAATCTTCCTAGAAATTAATACAAGCTGTAATGATTTTTATTTGGGTTTCTTTATAAATATTTACATATAACTTTATACTTCTAACGGTCATTTGACTTAAAATATTAAATGTTTCAAAACTTATGCGATTAAAACTCACACTTGCTTGTTCTTGTTCATTAATTACGTGTTTTAACAACGAATTTAACACATTAATTTGTGGTCCTATATCGGCGGTCTGTCAACCTCTCCAGCTTTCCCAATGACCTGATATTACAAATATGAGTTAGCCTTAGAAAAACACGTTATAAAATGACATTACACAGTTATTTCTTTCTGTGAAATGTATAGAGGTAAACATTATTAAATATTCTTGAAAACATTCTTTCCTGGAACTTAATAATATTTTATATGATACTGCACCGTAAATAGATTATTATCATGTAACATTTAATGTGATATGAAATATTAATAAGAATATTGCAGAAACGGAAGTAGATGCATTTGTAAGCTGTAAATATTGTTTTTCCTATTACGTTTGATGTATTGATAGCTAAAATGTGGCACATATCTTTATAGCATATTAAATGACTTCGAAACATATTACCAAAAGATTTCAGATAATGGAGTTGATAATTTAATACTGTATTTAGAAATGGAGAACAATAAATATTTCGAATATTTAGGCATAAAGAGAGCTGTGTGGTAGAATAGCAACAATAACTTAGAAGATATAAATAAATAGAAAGTAACAGGTCACGATAATCTTCTTTGACAAGCTATGTAATTACACATTTAACTGTTTCCAGAAATACGTTGGTATTGGAATGTTGACCGATTCAAAATAAATGACAAAGGAATACAAGTTATTGTAACAAACAAAGTGATAATTTTAAGGTATCGGAGTGTTTATGGTTAACATCTATTGCTCCTAGTCGATGCTGGTATCGTATCACATCAGTGACATTTTTATGTAAAGAAGCTATCCAGCTAAGCAATCCAGCTAACATATAGATCGTCGTTGGTACAACTCAGGTGTCCGTTCGTGTCTGAAGTAACGTACTAAAGGATCCCTGAGATACTCCCTCTACCAGTTTGCTTGAAAGTCGTCATTTGGCTTTGTGTTGGTGCGACGTAAACCAAACCGAAAGTAAATAATTGCGAGGGAAATGTTCGAAACTATAAACTGATGGAAACATGTGAAGCATTTAATACTAGACATTTATCAGCTACATTATTGTTAATGTTACGATTGTTACATATTCTTAGGCACCTCTACTATACAATTGGGTATTTCTCGATGCAATGGTATCGACAAATACTAACAAATGAGGGGCGTCCGTGGCCGAGTGGTTAAGGTCGTTGACTTCGAATCACTTGCCCCTCACCGCTGTGGGTTCGAATCCTGACAGGGACTTTGGATTCTTTCATGTGAGGAAGCTATCCAGCTAGCTTACGGAACGTCGGTGGTTCTACTCAGGTGCCCGTTCGTGCCTGAAATAATGCACTGAAGGGCACCTGAGGTCTTCCTCCACCAGTAGAGCTGGAACGTCGCGATATGACCTATACTGTGTCGATGTGACGTAAAACCCAAAACAAACAAAACAAACAAACTAACAAATGAGTACTGAATAATTTTAAACAACCAAAGTATGGAAATTGTCATAAAGCTTTATACATACCAAAGTAGGAAAGAACAACTAAAACGGCAAAGTTAAAAATGTTACAGGCTCGATATGACTGAGTCTTTTTATGAACGGACCAGAAAAATGCAAGCTATTGTCAAAGCCCTTAGCACTGGCCTAAGCAGAATTCAACATTTAAACGATGCATATCATGGCACCTTAAATGTATTACGTTCGTGGCTCTCCAGAAAAAAAAAGCGGCGTATCGTCCTACATTTTACAGCTTCCTCACGGCCAGAAAAGTACATACGATGACCTACCTTACGATACGTCGGTGTTAATTCTCAGGTATGATGGCTAATTAGGAACACTTTTGTGCGTCATATTGTCGCTATCGACAGTACGACAAAGTGCGCGTTGTCGCACTGTCATCTTGTCGTCCTGTCTTTTACGATTCACCACAAACGGCGAGTTGTCGTGCGGCGTGTTATCGCGTTGTCACATTGTTGCTCGGCTCAAATCGAAGTATTAGCTCTTTGTAGATATATAAGTCAAGCGACAGGGTGACATCGCAACAACGAGCCGCAAGACAACGCCCCGTTTGGCGTGCATCGTTAGCGACAAGACGAAAGGCGATAACGATAAAGGTTGTGTTGTCGCTATCGACAACGCAACGCGCAAAGTGTTCAAAATCAGCTACCAAAGTCAGGTGCTCGTTCGTGTCTAGAATATTGTACGGAGGAGCAGCATATTAGCCCGACCTCAACAAGTAAAGCTGGAAAGTCCATATATACCGTGTTGTTGTAACGATACTCCCCCACCCCTTGCATAAAGCAAAAGAAAAATAAATTGAAAAAGTCATGCCAAACTTGTACAACACAGCAAAGATGTGTAGAACCAATGCTGATTGCAAATCTTTTGGATTTGTATTTTTATAATCTGGCTCTAACCAGTCATTAAGAGATTTGAAGAATTCATTTTGTCGCTTTTGATGCCACAAGGTAAAACATACACATAATGTCAATGTCGGACAACTTCCTGACTGCTCTATAAAGTCTATACCCTATATCCTATCACCATACAAAACTTATCGTTATGCTCCTTGAAGGACTTTTTTTTTATAGAAAATGCAAAGAACTGTCCCTTGCTTTCTTACAGGAAATACATATCATAGGAACATAATTTACAAATTATGTTTCTGCACATTTTGTGACTGGACAGGCAAGATACGAATTACATTAATAGCAATCATGTAAATAAATGTTATGAAACTTAATACATTATAAACATACGAAGGTTTTTAAAGGTTTAGTAAATATAACATTAATAATACTTTTTTCTTGATTGTTTACACTCATTTATTTCATTTGTTTAATTTAAGCGCATCAAAATCATAATCATACACTAAATTAATGTTAAAGACTTTAAACAAAATACAAAATATGAAATTTTATATAATTGCTTTAAATTGTAACGTGCTATATCATAATAACGCACTTATGGGATCCGTGTAATAATGTATTTCCAATTGTCCAGCGTTTAAACATCATGATTGTTGTGTTATATTTCGATTTTACCTTAATAGGGCAATTAAAAATAGCAATAATATTGGAAGTATTAACAGTAGCCATTCAATTATAGAAACGCCGAGTGCAAATTTGATAAAATTCTCGTCACAGCATTCCTTGGCACCATCACATCCTCCAGCTAGGTATGAATAATCCGAGAAGACATATATACTACCTGCAACAATTGAAAGGGAAACAATTTTTAAAAGAATCTTTGTTGCAACAAATTTTAGTTTATAAAAAAACAATGATACATTGTAATATAATCAAAAAACGTGTATGTATATGGAATAATTAAGTAGAAACCAGAAAGCGTTTTTAGACACTTTCACCTTTATAGCTATAATCTAACATTATTGTTGTTAATTGGTACGAATAACATTTTTTTGCAATAATAAATAAATATATGAGGTTGGTAGCTTAATCGATAAATAGAAACATATCGCCATTCGGTTATAAGATAAAAGAATATTTGTTATACATGTATTTGTAATATATATATATTTGCTAAGATCATTTAATTGGTCACAAATAGCTGAGTAAGCTAGAATGCAAAAAAAAAAAGAAATTGTTTAAGGTTGCTGAATTTACTAGGTATGGGCTTCAATGTTTTAAAACATATAGTTACCATGAAAATCTCTTTGGGTATATATGTGTGCAAAAATTAAAAGAAAAAGAAAAGAAATGACGATAAATATCAACAAGGCAAGGCGACGTTTACAGACCGCAGCCCCCGATACAATCCAGCCACACCAGTTATTCTATGAAAGGGGACGGTCACAAACAACGCCAGAAAATCCCTTCAGGATGAAATATAACAACATTAACTGTATAGAAAGAAATATGCTTTCGGCAACCGCACGACACAAATAACACACTTGTCATCATTAAAAAATGGGGGACTAGACGAAATGGAAATTTAAAATGGGAACATATCCTATTTGAAGGTAATTATGAAGTATTCGAGACGTAATACTGGATCGACCCAGCTAGATAAAGTTAAAACAGAAGGCACCAAAAATACAACCAAACAACAATAATGTCATGCTGAACATTTTCAATGATAAGGTACTTTTAACTGTGATTGAATGCAAGGGGCGACTTTTTACCGATTCTCTTTGAAGCATCATGATGTAGTCTACAAATATTTTAGAAATCATTTTCCTAAACATGAAATATTTGTCGTCCCAGGAATCCCTTCGTTTACACAGATTTATATTTTAATCATTGCCTGTGACACCCCATGTTCTACAGCACATATATATGGAGCTTTCATCTAACGAGTTTTGCAACGATGTGTGCTGTAAATTAATATACCAAACAGGGTAATAAAGTTTGCAATATACCCCTTGTAATTATTTTCGAAAATTATATTATGCTATTTAAAGTAATTACGTTTTCATATACACATGCACACGTTTCATTGTAGACGTTTTATTTTTGTATTATAATATTATAACGTTTCTTTCACGCGCCAAATAACTATTAACGTAGACGTCTGTTTTGTACGCTTACGTCATTTCCTTTATGTATCAACTGACGACTGACGAAGCGAAACATGCATTGACATTTAAATTTGTGTTGGTTTTCTATCAATTTGTCCAATATACCCATTATTGTGCGTTGTTTTTTTTTTTTTGTTTTTTTTTTTTTTGTTTCAACGTACATATACAGAGTTTAAATACAATATCTAATACAGGTATATGTAATGTAGGCTCTTGATATGAGACCTTTGTAAAAATAACATTTTGGAAACATTTTTCTTCTAACATAATGTGTGAAAATATACATTAATATATATTGTCTTTCCAGGTGCTTAGATTTTCATTAATTGTCATTGAAAAACTGTTCTTTAGATGAGTATATAATTCATGATTAATAAAAATACATGATCTGGTTTAGGGTAAAGGAATTAAGCTCGACATTCCTATTAAAATGTAATGAATCATGGTATTTTCCCCGCCCTTTAGGAACCATAAGCCGAATGTTGAAAAAAATACAAAAAGATAAAAAAAAATATATTATTTTTTAAATTATGTCTGTAAGAATATTAACATTCACCAACCTATCACTATTCCAATAAAGTGTTCAATAACCAGAGCAATAATCGCTCCCACGTCTCTTGTAATCGCTCCCTCACAAACAATTGCAAGATTTTTAACGCATCCAATTATTACATCAATAATAGTTTTGGAACCACCGGCTCCTGTCATGAATCTTGGAATTGTGGCATTTGCCGGGCAATCATTCCAGTAAACTAAACCTAAATTATAAAGTATGTTATACAGTAAATGACGTGTGTCTAAACCATGTGTAAACAGATGTTACAAGTTAGAGTCCAGCGGTCTACCCAACTTATTCTTGTTTCGTGAACACTACTGAGTCATATATTTAGTTTAGTATATATGTACTCAGTTTTATTTATCCTTTTGATTAGAAAAAAGAAAAACAGTAACATACTATCAGACACATATATAGTATCTAATCTGAAAACTAAAGTAACACGCGCATACCAATTTTTTTTATTAAAAAAGATATATAACCAGGAATATAATAAATTTACTTTCAAACAAAATAAAGTTGTATTATTTTTCCAAATGTTTGAAACTACATTGTAATAATGATGAACAAGAAGTGCATTATGCTCATTATATGGCTAGTATAATATATAAAAACTGCCTAAAAAAGATGTATCCACTCCTTCTATCACTTCAACGCTACAGATAGTTGTATTGTCAGCTTACCCTAAGGTTCACGGAGCAAGCCTCTTTAAATACAATAGATCACAGTTCAGCCAGCACACTTTTGTTTGACTTTAAGCAGTTTGCAAGTACTAGTGCCTTAAATTTCCCAAGAAACTGTTAACTTCTGTACATTCGAGAGCAGAGGTACAGTCCGAATGACCGTAGAAAGGATTTATGATCATTTACAACGAAAGAGACCTGCACCGCCTTAGGGAATCGAACCCGGGTCGCTCGATTCACAGTCCAACGCTTTACCTACTGAGAGCGAACCGGACGGTTTTGAAAGGTACATATACGTTCTGAAGGATATGTATAGGATTTTCCTTTCGTAACTAACCATTTTCAATTAGATGGGAAACATATCACTTTCAGTAGACTTTTCCAAACTATTTGTTCTACAATTAACGATTTAAACAGCTCAAACGTAGCGACCTAGGAAAGCCAGTTGTTTTTGGGCGTTTCTTTATAAGCATCTTACCAACTTAGTCATTTACCTACTTTTTGCAGACAAGCGTGGCGTTAAGTCAGATAGACGTTGTGTTTAAATGAATGGATAGGTTCACACTAGTCATTGTAGGACAAAGACAAATGAAATTTAAGACATACCAATAATAAACTGTGTAAATCCCAAAAGGATAAATACAACGATACAACCCAATGTAACTGAAACATAAGGCAGATTAAAACAAAAAAATTGTTTCATGACATATTCTGATGAATACATTTTCATCTAACTGCAAAATTATTCAGAGAATGTGAAATAACTTTTTCAAATTAGTAAATACATATTTGCAAGCAACTAAAATGCGAAGAAACAATCATCCGTCACATGCTTATTCTAATAAAGGTTTTCTGTATGTAGACCAGAAATAGTAATGCATATGTTATTTAATCTAAAACGAACAAACAAACAAACAAAAAACTTTTTTGCTCACATCCATTGAAAAGCCCGTCCTTATCACATCCATCTTCACATCTTCCGCATGCCATCTCACACAAAGAATTTTTTTCAACTGCTTAAAAAATTCCATGGGTGTTTAACAATTCTTTCCAATTGTTAAAAATATTTTTTAAAGTAAAAATTATATATTAAATTTATATAAAATTCTAAATGAAACACAAATCGTGTACGTATATTTAAAAGATTATCAAATGAAGTATTAGCTTATTGTTGCAAGTATTTATAATAGTGAAATTTGAACATTACCCTTGATAAATAAACATCGACATAAAAATCATTATAATTATTTTTGAAGAACATCTTTAAATGCAACTCAAAGCGAGAAACCCACATAAGCTTGTTATGTATCAGATTTTATAAGATGATCTTATTCCTACGTCTAGTTATCAAACGAAAACTATTTATTTACTTCAGTGACAGTGACTATAAACCTATGACCGTATGTAGCATTCCCAGTATTAAATCCACACAACCTGGTAAATACAAAGATTGATAACATCTCATTTTAACTCTAAATATTAAGCAAAATCCATGCTTTGTAACAATAAATGTACATTTTTTTGATCGAAAGTCATTTGTGTAAGTTAAGCAAAGGTTACGCAAAATATTATTTTCGGATATCATGCACATTTTGCTAGGAAAGATTTATAAATCAGTATCCTGGGCAATATTTTGTAATTTTTAGAACAATTATTTATTCATTTTTTAATGTTTTTTTTTTCGTCTAATTAACAAAAACCTGGAATCTTAGACCTGCGAATTAGAAACAGTGTAACATTTAACAAACATACAAATTACTATAACACATTCAAAACCATATAATACTCACTAAAATAAGATATACTATCCTACAATATCACATACGCTACTTTAAAGGTTTAAAAATGTTTGATACCCCGACAATCTTAAATGTCCGATTTTCAAATGTCATCTTAAAGCATATCTTCGATGATTATTCATGTACGATAGTTTAGAGTGGCTTTTGGTATTGATTACAAACAAACACGTACATACATGTATAGGTATTTCCCTCTCAACTTTCTAGATAAATGTCTTACCTATAGAAATATATGACCACCTGTATGCGCACTCGTTAACAAGATTTATTTACTCAGTAAAAAAAAACTTGTTATCTAAAAAATATAGATTTACGTCAAACACAACAGGATAGGTCATGTAATCTGCAGACAGACATGAGAAAATGTCATTTAAAACGTGATTTAATTGAAGGCAGCATAAACTTGTCATAAAACTAGGGTGATATATTGGATTGATTAAACTGATAAAGCTTATCAATAAGTTGATTATCAATATTGTTTTAATCCACATTTGTTGTTTTTTTTTTAAATAAGTTAATATGTAATGTCTTTAAATTTCAAACGAGTTATTTTTATTTTTTTATTTAAATTTAAAATCGTTATATTCCTGTCATTGAGAGTACATAACAAAAAAAACTTGTATTAATTTTCCAAACACAGAATGGGAGAAATAAACAAGAAGTAGTAAATATAAACAAATCCGTGATGCTATATGTAAAACACTTTCATGCTTGTCCTTTTATCTGATTTATTTACTTATTTAAACAGTTAATCTTAAGATATATACGAAAGCCTAAGTCGAATGAAATTGTCGGTCAAATAATGTGCAGACAAACCTGTAAAATTGCATAAATTGAAAATATAAATTGATTTAAAGATAGTTTAGTGTCCAGGAAGTAATATGAAACATTTGTTAAATAATCAGCACCATAAAATCCAGTTTTGAATTAAATATGTTGTTAATCAAGCTGACAATTCTAAACAATATTTAAAGATTCATATATGCCGAGAACTTTCTTAATCGCTGTTTTCATTACACCAATTAGTCGATCCCACATTCCACCATACCAAGGTGCGCTTTGGAATGAACTGCCAGTGTGTTCCTCTTTGTGTAAGGGCAGTATGAAGATTTTGCGAATTATAGAGTCGCCGGATTTGATTGGCTGCTGCATGAAAGGTGGTACCATTATCAGATATCATCAGTCTTGGTAATGGTCGTCTGCTGATGAATCGTCTGAAGGCTAACAAAAGATTCTTCTGTAAGGTCTGGAACTATTTCTAGGTGAACAGCACGGGTTTTGGCACACGTGAATAGACATATGTATACCTTCTGCTTGCTTTTCTTTAATGTAAAGTGCCCCTGTGAAATCGACACCTGTTACGGAGAAGGGTGGTTCGACGATTACTCTGGAAACCGGAAGTGTAGGAGGATCTGGGGCGGTATAGGGTCTTCCTGTAACTTTTCTGCAAATGACACATCTTCGGAGAACACTTTTCACGTGCTGTCTGATTGACGGTATCCAGTATTTCTGGCGTAAATGGGTAACAGTATGGGCGACACCTGCATGTAACTGATTGTAATGAGCGTCTTCTATTATCAGTCTGGTGACATGACTTTTTGGGGACATAAGGAACGGGAATCTTGTTGTCTCTGGCAACTGTGCGTTATGTATTCTTCCGCCACAACGAATACAACCGTCCTTGTCTAAATAAAAGTCTTAGCTGTCGAATTATTGGACTGCGTTTTTTCTGGGATTTAAGATCTTGAATTACGTCTGGGAAATATTGTTGTTGGCAAGTTTCAATCAGTTTTCCTTCTGCTAATCTCAGCTCTTCTGTAGATAATGGACCACTTTGGCGATAATTATACGTCACTCTGCAGTTTTTAATGAAACGTATAACGTATGTCGTAAACACGTAATAACTTATGAAAGCTGCTATATCTGTTTAACTCTAGAATTTGACGTAAACCAGAGTTACCTCTCTTGTCAGATACAATTTCTTCCTCTGAATTATGTTCCGTCAACGTAGTGAAAGTGATTGCCCTGGTTTGTTCCAAAGTAGGCCATTTATTGTTGTGAATTAACCAAGTAGGTCCATTTTTCCATAATGTGCTTGATTGTAACTGGGTCCCCGTTAGACCTCTGGTTTGTAAATCAGCGGGATTTTGATCTGTTGGACAATATCGCCATTCAATATCGGGGGTAAGTTTCTTGATTTCTTCGACTCTGTTCAAAATGAAGCGTTTAAGTGTTTTTGTAGATTTCAGCCAACTTAACACTATTTGACTGTCGGACCAACATGTGATTTTTTTGCACGTGAATGCATTTGACACGTGGTGGGTTACACGTGCACCGATGAGTGCTGCCATCAGTTCTAGTCTGGGTAAAGTTATCTCTTTGACAGGTGCGACTCTATTCTTTGCAAATACAAGGTTAGATGTATGACCGGAAGTTAGATATGCTACAGCTTCATAAGCACGTGCAATTTCATCAACAAACACGTGTAAATTAAAATCGGCGGAATTTGCTGTATTTTCAGTGGTGGGAAAATATGGTCTCTGGAACTTTGTCTGAATTACGCTGTTCAGGTCGATGCTCAAATCAGCCCAGGTGTTAACGATATCAACCGGAAGTGGTGTGTCCCAATCAAATTTCTTCTTCCATAGGTCTTGAACTAGTAATTTGGCGCGTACAGTTACTGGGCTAAGCAATCCCAGAGGGTCATATAATTTTGAAGTCTGTTTGAGAATAGAACGTTTGGTTGTTCTCTCAGAGTTTACTATCGTGCGCTGTACAAACGACATCTCGTCATTATCCGGGTCCCATAACATTCCTAATACCTTGCCAACTTTATCCTTGTCCAAGACTTTTTCAGCTAGTGCGAGTTCACATAACTTACTGGAGTTTGAAGTCCACGATCGCAGATTGAATCCTGCTTCGGACATGAGAGCACGTGCGTACCGGAAATAGGTACGAAGATCCTGTTCTTGTTGAAAACTTTAAATTACATTGTCGACATAAAAGTCTCTGGTAATTATATTAGCGGCAGGGTTACTTGCATTCAGGGTCATGTGTTTCAGTAATGTAGCATTGAGAATAAATGGGAACATGTGGCTCCAAAAAGGACAACTCGAAATCTGTATGTCACAAGCTGGCTCTTGTGATCTGTAGGGTCTGATAACCATAGAAATCTGGTAGCATCTCTGTCATCTTCGTGTAGACCGACATGTAGAAAGGCTTTCTCTATGTCAGTTGATACTGCATATCTACCAAGCCGAAATCTTAACAGAAGGGTGGTTAGATCATTCAGCTCTGGAGGTGTGGATTCAAGGCAGTCGTTTAAACTTGGACTTCTTTCTGATTGGCGGCAACTACAGTCATAGACTATTCGTATGGGCGTTGTTGTGGAATTCTTTTCAACTCCATGATGTGGTATATAATGCACGCGTTTTGCTCTGGAACTTTCGTCTACTCTTTCAATGAAACCTCTATTTTCTTGTTCCTATATAATATCATTTTATGTCATCAACATTTGGGGCTTCTGACTTAGGCGTTTTATTGTACATTCTGTTCTTTTTCTTCGTAATGTTATAGTTTGAAGGGAGGGGTTGATGATTCTGTTTCCATGGCAACTTCGCTGTGTAATTTCCGCCTGAGAATGAAATACACGATTTCTGGTACTGTTGTAGATAAGAAGAGGCATCGGTATCTTCACAGTCTCCTTTTGAAACACCCATTGATTCTATATCCCAAAATCGAGTGAGTCTGTCGTTTCAGATACGTGGGTTGCTATGACTTCCATAACATTGGAAGGTGGATAACTACTCTCTACATGAAGTGGGCGATTTAAGAAGTAAACCAATCGGCGGAACTTTCAAGCAGTGGGTCCATCACCTCTTAATAATTTTGTCGCCAACTATCTGGCCAGTTAAAAAAATTAGCACCAATTAAATAGTGATATATCGAAGGTGGTATCCATGGTAACAGGGGAGCAAGTTTGAGTCCTTGTAGATAATTTTTCAAGTGTTTGATGGAGTTGCGATATACATTAATTGATGGGCTTTGGCTATCAGGGGAACAATTCAATACTCGGATTGGGTATTTTAACATTCCGTCGTCTTGCTACTAAATTTACAGTTGCCGTATTAAGAATGTTGAACGCTGTGCGCTGGGTCGCCGAAACGCTGATAAATGTATAATATCTGTTCCATCAATATTCAATTGAAGTTTATCGGCTAACTTTTGGGTGATAAAAGATCTTTGGGCTCCTTCGTCCATAAGAACATTTTGCTTCTGCATATCGTCCATCAGCACAAACAGGGGCTGTCGCAGTTTTTTAATAAAACATCTGACTGGTGGGTTTTTTGAAAATAATATAGTTGTATCACCGGCTTCAATATTAGTACTCCAGTTTCTATAACTTCCGGTTACGTCAGACTGTTGTGTTTCATGACTTCCTATGGCGGGCTTATTTGGGTAGTTCTGGGGAAATGTCGATTGGGAATGGCTGCATGTACTAGTATTGATGTTTACCATGACACTGGCGACACCGCGGCTTGGACGACATCCAGACACTTGGTGACCTTACTTGGGCAGTTAAAACACAAATGTTTTATCTTTATGATTTGAATGCGCGATTTAACATCACCTACTTTCTTACAGTCTCCCATATGTAATTTCATTACAGTAAACGCACTTTTTCTTTGAATGCTCAGTCCGGTATAATGACTTCCGGTTGTCTCTATTTCGTGCGGCGGTATAAAATGATGCTGTTGGTATGAATCTTTCCTGTTTAGTGTTCTGTGACTCTCCCGCTTCCATAATTTCAATCTCTCTGTTTAGTGATTTGCGTAAGTCTGGAAGCGCGTCCAACTTCCGATACCATGTTCCCTAGCTAAATGACGTCTGGTTTCCGGAGGTAGTCTTTCAAGGATTATTCGGATTAATAGATTGCCATATGTATCTTGTAGTTCACTTAATGATTCTAAACCCCGGATGTTTGTCTCAAGCATATCGTAAAATTGACGTAATTCTCGAATATCGTCTGCTGGTGTTGGTAACTTCAATAATGTCTGCATATATGCGGAGGGGTGATTTTTTTGTTTCTGTCCGTAGCGCTCTTTTAATAAACACAATGCCTGACTGTAGTTTGCATTCGTTAATGCGAACCCGTCAATAGTTCTTGCAGCATCACCCTCTAGCAATGACTTCAGGTAACTGAATTTCTGCACGTCTGTTAAACTGGGATTGTTGTGCACTGATGATTCAAATGAGTCCCAAAATGTCTGATACGTCAAGAGATCACCACTAAATGTCGGCATAGAAATTGTTGGCAACTTGTGATGAAATGAAATTAGACAGCCGGGTATGCGACAGGTTCTGTCTCTCATGTAGTCCATCTGCTCGCCGTGCATTGCTGAATGATGGTTTCTTTTCGTGACGGATATGGTTTGATAATTGTCTCTGTCTAACGTCTCTTACTGAATCTGATAAAACCTGGAATTTCTTATATTTCTGTAGTTCCCCGTTTTACCACGAATTGTTGTACATAGCCGGTTTCCCTTTCACCTCTACTGCTGGTATTTCCAGTATTTCAATCATTGTTTAAAAAATGCCTTGCACCAGTACTCGCCAAAGGAAAACATTTAATTTTTCCATTGTTTTATGAGAAGTTTGAAACATCTTCTATATTTAAATTTTCTCTAATTGCATCTTTCGAAATTTTCCTGCAAATTTCTGCAAATAGCTCTGTGGCCCTCTCTCACTGCTTTAGTTTATGAAAGATTCATGGCGGTTACCGGTTCACGGGCCCCATAAAAATGTAAGGGACGTGTTCGTGAGTAAAAAATAAAACGGGTTTTGGTAGGTTCGGTTCCCTTTTCTCAAAACCCCGAATGTTTCATACAAAAGGAAATGCGTTAAAGTTTAAAAAAATAAGAAAAAATTCGCGCAAAAGGGGACGTTACGTGAGTTTGCCGGGGCCCCAAAATTTTACAAAAAATTTAAACCCTTTACTTTAGTTTGTTAATCTTTTTTGCCAAAAACGGGCAAGAAAACTTCCCTTTACAACAAACGGTTTTTAAAGGAATTTTTATGAACATTTTTCTTTTTTGAAAAAACCCTTCAAAGCCTTTAAAAACTGATCGCTTACTCCCCCGTTCTGTGAAAAGACTTTTTGGGGATTTTAAAAATTTCCCTTTTAAATAATTAAATTTGGGTTTTAAATTTTAAGATAATAATTTTTTTATTTTGTTTAAAAAACGTTTTTAAAATGACAAAATAAAAATGAAAAAAAGCAAATTTTTTATTTAATTTTGGGTTTTCCCTTTTTTTTTTATTTTTTTAAAAATGATATTAACTACAAAAATCCAGTGATAAAATGGTGTTCATAAAAGCCTACAATGATTCCCAATATTACAATAGTCATGCTTTTGGTATTTCAATTTCATTTTCAAAGTAGATTATACTAAACATACGACCTATTAAGTACACATTATATTTTCAATATAGAATGGCATTTATAGACGTATGCTTTTAACATAAAACAAACTATTGCAATAACATTCTTAAAATACTACAAAAAAGAATATCATACAAATTCATTATTTGCTTTTAAGCAAATGAACTTCAAAGGTTAAAAAAGTTAAAAACATTGACATGTTATATTATATAAAAGATTGATCTTAAAGAGTTTTATCTGTTATTATACACCATGAATCACAAATATGCATAGTGTCTTCGATGAAAGTTGGAAATTTAAGAGAACATAATGTTCTTCTTATTATAACATACAATAGATGTGCACTTTAGCCTTTATCATATGAACCTAATGAAAAAGGTGTATGAAATTATAAATTTAATTAGATTCTATTATGATGATATTTATTGGCCCTTTCTTGTTTTGATCTAAAAACCATGTAAATAAAAATGACTGATATGCTAAATCTACCCTTTGTTATTATTTATGTTATTAGTTGTGTAGATTTTATCTTAGGTTCATTTACAACGACTTCGATACTTGTTCTTAAACTACCTTAATGCTATTATACATAATAATAATAATTTTGACAAATCAGATGAGATTAACTTATAATTTTACTTTTTAACTAAGAAAATCTTAGCATGGTCTTTATGCGCTATTCCAGATTGTGTTTATATAAACTTTTAAAGGAATAATAAATTTGTTCTCGAACTAAAAGAATACATTCGCATTTCCTTCTTTAAAAATATGTGAAGTAAAATGCACTTGGTACTTCCACGGCTACTAATGTCTATATATTCGAGCACATACCTTTGCAGCATTAAAGTATTAAACAAGTTAAATGTTGATGCTGCACATCAAAGACGCCGCTAAATGACGTGAACAGTCACAGGTAATGTACAAAATCAGCATTGAAAATCGTTCTCTATTACAGTTGAATATCCGAAGCACTATTCAATTTTTTCTCTATTTTCTTGATATGTGCTCATTGTTTAATAATTAAGTTGCATATGTTTGTGAAAAAGTAGAACCTAATGCATAATTTCGCAAAATAATGCAATGTCTGAAATTCTGAAATGTTTAAAGATTAAATCGTCTTGGTCGAAGCTAAATAAATTAGATAACAAGTAACATTGAAATGATTGAAACGGTTGTTTCTTCATATGGCACCAGTACTGGTTGGTTATAGGTAGCGGACTCGAACAGTGTTTTTTGTTCTAAGTATAACTACTACCCTAAAACGGCACTGTTCCCAATAGCAAATAGACATTAAAATTCCCAATTTCCAATGTTTCAATTCCCAAATGGCTGTTCAAAATTGCCACAAGGCCAAGTGATTTCTCTGAAATCATTTAAATCCAATATATTCATATAAATCACCACTCAATATTTCTACCTGGACAGTGGAAGCTGTTAGCTATCTTTATTCATGATGACTAATCTTATTTGTAGCTGAAAAATGCATGAAAAAAATCCCAATTTAAGTCAAAATAAAGCATTTTTCCCAATCAGTCTGGTACCGGCACCATTCCCAAAGTAGAGAAAAAACGCTGTCGAATGTGATTAATATGAGTTGAAAGATCATGTTTCGCAATCTAGTTTAAATAAATATGGTTACACCAAAGAATCGAGCTTACAACGGTCTTATCAGTCTTTAAAATTGATAACTTGGTACAAAAGGTACGGATATCGGGAAAATTTTATGATTTTACTGTCATCTAACATATAAGTGTTTCTTGTATGTTGCAGAAATTCAGTATTGTATGCTGATTTTGGTTTCTAATCAAATAATAAAATCAGTTCACAGAAATGTTAACCAAGAATATATGATTTAGTGCAACTGCCAGTGCTTCTTTTACATATTAATTTATATTTTCACAAAATCTGAAACTTTTTTGCACCCCACGAAAAGAATATGTTCATGTTATTTTTAGTAAATGTTTAACCTTGTTACTTTTCTTGGCAAAACGTCCAGTAACTATAAAAACAAAAGAAGGTTAGATGTGTTCAGCTCTAGAAATGTTTTTTAACTTTCATTCAAGCGTCAATACATGTACCTTCCATCACTATATTCGACTTCAAACAGCATTTCACTGCTCGTTTGACATTTTCTTGGCCTTATGTCATTTCTGTACATTTTGAGTGACAGTTCATGTAAATTCGTAGAAGAAGAACAAGTATAACACTATTCTAGTTTCTATTATATAAAGCAAGAGACGGCTTTTCTGTATCTATATTTTCAATACAACTGACCCAGTTTAAATATAAGTTGTGTATAGCATGAATATATATGTAACAGCAATGCGACTTTTACTTGGTAACAAATCGTGTGAAAATAAATACATGTGAAACATTCACTACCTATTAATGATCAGCTGCATTAATTGTAAATGTCACGTTCTCTTCAATAGAAAATAAAAGTAACTTATAAAATATATTTTGACCAATAGCTATTTCCTTAGGCAAAACTTGACATTATGGAATTTGCAGACAATAAGAAATGTCACATTCCGTATACGAGTTTTCTTAAATAAAGGACGACATTTTCATTTATTTGAAATGAGACTTGCCGAAAGGAATGTGACGGTGACAACTACATTTAAAGGAGTTAAAGAGAATATAGATATCTGTGTCATCTGACATTACTGTAGGATAGATATATACATTGACATAGAGCTTTTAGCAGGGATTGTAGTGGTTGTAATTCATATTACCGGTCATGCCCCGTATCACCGGCTGCGGAGCTTATACTAGCTGCCGTATTTTCTTTGCCTGATCAGTCATTATTCAAAACCAAATATAGTATATTTACACGAAAAAATGTTAACATTGACATATGTGCCCTCTACAATTATTCTAGAATGACTTAACATTTTGTTTGAATGCATACGCATGTGCAAGATTTATATTATATTTAAAAATAGTCTAAAGAGCTTAACGTTTCACATAATTATGACTAAAGGGGTATTACGTGTTCTTCTTTTAATTTAAAGTTCATGGGCATGATGTCTAATTCACTTATAGAAGCTCAACATTATAATCATTCAAGAGTGAAAATATCACTCAAGCAATACCCTGTAAAAGAAACTTGGGTAGATGGTTTTGAGCGTTTAATTCTAATTTTACAAGAGTCATTGTGGTATTTGAACGTTTTTTTATTCTGAGACTGCTTTAAAATCACGTTAAGTGGAAACAAAAATTTGTAATCAAACTTCACCCATAATCGTGAATTCATGAAAACAATTTTAGAAGTAGAAACAATTGTAATGTATTTACATACATTTTCCCAATAAATCTTAAATTTTACAAGCCACTACAGAAGCTTGAATGCATACTGATCGCAAAGCTTATAGTGGTTTATGTGTGCTTCGAGGTTGTAAGAAAAGTATCTCTATTTACTAGATAGGCAGGAAAAATCCAACACTTCCGGAAAAAATCATATCTTGATCATATTATCCATTGCATTATAATATATGTATTTTTTTTCATTATTGGAAACAATAGGACAATAAAAGATATAGGCTCTACCACCGTAATGTTATGCGAGTTTATAAACACATTAATGCGTTACATACATTCAAATTGATAATTCTAAGCGTGATTAACCAGGAGTTTAAGGAGAAAATTATGTGAGAACATATCATTGTTTCTGCATATTACAACAAATGTTTGTAATGCTAAGTACTCTATTGTGCCAAAAAAAAAAAAAACTACAAATAGTTACTTAACAATTTGAAAATGACTTTCCGTATAGTTATCTCGGTACATATTTGAGTGTTCTATAAATAAATATACTTCCTGACTTTCATATAATTTACGAATGTAATTTTAGTATTTTAGATCACCCTCGAAATATACTTTATTCATAATTAATGTTACTTTTATTACGTTTTCCTTTTGTTAATTGTACGAATTGTCATAATTTCAATTTAC